TTTTTTTTTTCTTTAACAGATTATTGCTTCATATGAATTATCTTCAATGGCTTCTGAGCTCTTTAATAGGATCTCATGTTAAGCCACGAAACTACGGGGGCTGGAGAAGTGCTGAGGAGCTTGAGGGCACAGCTCTACTAGAAAACATCAATGCTATAATGAAAAAGACGTGTTAAGACCTTAGAGCTTAAAAGTAATGCATGGTACATCAAAAGAGACCACTAACTTTTCACTATGAATCACACCTAGAGGTAGGTAGGGTAGTCTTGAGTAAACGTTATTGCCAAAATCATTAGATCAGGGTAAATGCCTCCTATGACTGGTTAACTAAAATATGTAAAGGACAGAGGGATCCTTTTTTCTGCCAGTGAGTTGATACAGTATGACTAAGATGTATATTATGGGAAGATTGAGTCAGGAGGGTGATACAGAGGAAGAACACTGTGAAGGCTAACTTCTACCCGCTGGGGTGCCTGTCTCAATGGTGCTGCCAGTTTTCATGTTAAGTAGGGAGGCTAAATAGCCTATGAGGGATTTAGAACTCAGCTTAAACCATAGTATTCCTATGTTGTGCTGTTCAGAAAGCTATCTGAAGTGTGAGCTTGAAGGTCAGAAGACCTCATACTACTATGAAATTATAAGGGTTTCCAGAATATTTAAGTTCTCTGGGATCATGTGTAAGTCTTGTACAGGGCTTCCCAGCTTTCAGCAATTTGTATAGCACCTTTATATTCCCACGATTTGACAGTTTCCAAATTATGTTTTTCTTTATATTGGTTTACTTTCATACATAAAAATAAGGCTGTTAAGGCACCTCTGAAAATTAAAGCACCATTATTGTTAATAACATGTTTTGACAGAATCTATGTCTATACTACATGTATGGCTGGTGTCTTTTGGGACCAGAAGAGGGCATTAGAGGATTCCTTGTAACTACAGCTACAATGGGTCTGTGTGCTACTATGTGGTGCTGGGAACTAAGCCCAGATTCTCTGCAAGAGAAACCAGTGCTCTTAATTGCTGAGTCCTCTCCAGCCTCCATCCCCCCCCTTTTAGGTATTCGCTTCAGTTTTGTAACTACATGATGGCAACAAAATAGAAGCAAATGCAGTGTCAAGGTTTCCATTAATTGTCCCCAAATGAATGTTATTTCACATTTAGAAAGAAAGTTTATTGTAAACTTTATTTGAATTAAAGATAGAAAACCATATTTTTATTTGAAACTTAATTATGCAAGTTATTGCAATTTAAGTATTTACAGTAATTATTTTAGTATATACTTAATATTCCTTTAGATACATATATAAGTATGATTTACAAAATTTAACAACAATCAGAAAATGTTCTTCAAAAGGATTTCCTTAAATTTGTAGCTAGGTATAAAGCTCATAATTGCCAATATACTTATTTATTAATGGCATTAGCCCAGGTCTTTAAATAAAAATAAGCATATCTGTAAAAAAGTATGACGTAAGAAGGAGGTGCATAGAAGCATGCACTTACACATACTTTCTGAAAGGATGTAAACTAATTTTGGATACTGTCATCTCTTCAGATTTCCTCGATTAATGAATAGCAGGACTTCTGACATCCAGATGCTACTGCAGAAAGATGACTAAGGCAACTACAGGCAAAAAGCATGTGTGTGATGCACAAAAAAATGTACATTCCAAGAGTGAAGGCTGGTAATGAAAGCAATAGGATACTGAAGGGGGCTGGAGTGTCTTATAAATCATATGTCAAAGAGATTGTTAAACCGATAGTACCTGATATGCAGAATCTCTTAAATGCAGATACTTTACTGCTAGGCTGTTTATAGGTAGCTAAATAGCTCCTATACTTTATAACAGCCAACCAATTTTGGGATCTGATTACTTCTAGGCCCCAGAATCAAGCAGGCACATTCTAAATATGGAATGTTTGACACACTGTTCTTTTTCTTTATAAATTAGTCTTCATATTTCCCCATTTTTATCATATTGCATAAGCTAAAAATTCATCTAGTAAGAAAAGGTTCTTTTTCCAAGCAGAATTTTGCTTCCGTCTTTCAGTTTCCTTCTTTCATACTGTATAGCGGATCCACAAGTTTATTGTGCACATGCATTAAACCTTAAAGAAAGAAAAGCACAATTCTAGTTGTAGTTTTGTTAATTTTGAACCTTAAGAAAAGATTTATAAGGCACAATATTTCATTCTTATATGATTACAAGGTCTTCTGAAACTAAGAAATAGGACTGATAAATTATCAGTGCAGATGTATAACAGAACATATACTTCGGAGTCCCAATGCACCTTCAGTTTTTGTCTTGAGCATTAGAAGGGCAGGCTGGTGAATTTGGATATGATTGGTTAATACGTTTGTATAGAAGCCTATATTTTGATTTTATGGTCACTGCTCTAGCTGGTGATAATAAGGGACACTGACTGTCTTAATACGATAGCTGTCTTCTAAAGTATTACCCTATGGGTTTGCATGTGTTAACATGTTTATGAATATATGTATGAGTGCCAAAAATTGTCAAGTGTCTCCCCTTTTCACTGTAACTCACTGTTAGAGGTTTCTCACTGAATACAGAGATCATTAACTGGGAGGAACTGGCTGGTCAGCAAGTTCCAGAGATCACTGTATCTGACTTGCAGCCATAGGATAAAATGCTTTGCCTTTTAATGTAGATTTTGAGGGATCTATGAGTTCCTCATGAATATAAAGCTGGCTCTTTTCCAACTGAGCCACGTCCCCAGAGTCTATATAAACTTTGAAATGTGTAGTTACAAAACTGGTTGATTACAAGCTTACCCATAGCATACTGAGGATGCTTATCAAAACAACACAGACATCTGTTTTAAATGATTTGGGATGGAAACTTAAGATTCTAAATTTAAGTAGACTTTAATAACTTTTATAATTCATATGTATGTTTTAGAGTGGAAATTTTCTAATGGGTATGTATGCTTGTGAATCATATATTAAAGCTTCTTTTCTAATTCATGTGTTAGTTAAGTACCAGGTATCTTTTTAAAAAGAGCTTACAAGAATGTCTTTGACAGAATCAATAAACTAAGTAAAAAATGTATAGTTTGAAAGTCAAAGAAATCAGTTAAATTTCCCGATCAAAAAAGCTGTAGGGAAGCTATTTTCTTCAGAAAACTGGGTATTGAATTTGGGAGAAAAGTGTTAGAAATGCACCTTCCTTGTTAAGGAGGCCTCAGAAAGCACTCTAAAATCTACATAGTGAAGAAGATCATATCCAGAGGACTGACAAAGAGCAATGGGAAGTGTTCCAATAAGAGAAAAATACTTAGAGGCATCTTAAAATCAAGGAAGGAAAAAGCATTCCATTTTCTAGGGCAACTGAAAACGAGAAGGCTGAGTTCTTTCTCAGCTCGCTTCAAGTCAGCACCTCAAACATCACAAAGCCCAAGAGTAGAGGGAGCATCAAAGGTAAAGGACTTTCAAGCCATGGGATTTACCTGTATCATTTTAAAGAGGATCTAGACTAGCGGTTTTCAGCCCTCCTAATGCTTCAGCCCTTTAAAACAGTTTCTCATGTTGTGGTGACCCCCAACCATAAAATTACTTCTGTTGCTGCTTCATAATTGTAATTTTGCTAATGTTATCAATCCTAATGTAAATAATTTTGGAGACGCTGGTTTGACAAAGGGGTCATGACCCACATGTTGAGAACGACTGATATAGGCAGTGTTTTACTTGATACAGACTTATCATTTGCTAACAACATTAAAGCTTTAAAATATACATAGAATATTAAGATAAGCAGTAAAGTTGTTTAAAATTATATATTGTATGTAACTGTTACAAATCAGGTAACTTGCTTCCTAACAAAAATTTTTTATGAAGTTTTACTAATATTTGACTATTAGGCCAGGTAAACGCTGACTATTTTAAGAAGTTTAAATAATTGGTAAGTAATAAAGAAAAATATGAAAATACCTCTTCTGATAAAAATGTACTGGTTCCCTGATATTTCTTGTAGAGATGCTTCAATGATACAGGTTCTAAATACCAGTTTTTAACAAAGCGTCTTATGAGTTGGACTTCATCTGAATGCTACCTCTGTGACGTTACTCGGGTAAAGCAATAGAACAAAGCTTATTTAAATGACAACAGTGTTCTTAAAGTACACTAGTACAAAAACTTAAGTTACATTTTAAAAGAAAAAACAGCTTGTGTGAATTACGTAAATTCTTAAACATTCAAATTTATCTTTTGAGAGATAATTAGTGGATAAGTTTCCTTTTACTAACAACTGTTACTGTTAGACATCTAATTAACCTAAATCTTTAGAATTTAAAAGATTTCTGTGACCAAAAGAAAGGGCATTTCAAATATTATGGATAATTGCATAGATTATTCTGCATAAATTATTCTGGGTAGATTATATCACATCAGTGTTCTGATGTGACACTGGGGAAAATGAGCATATGTCTAATATGTAAAACTATATTTTAAATAGGGACATAATGTGGCTTGCTCTTTGTGACTGGCAAAGTGGCTTTGTCTTTTCTTAAAAACAAGGTAAAGACAGCTCAAGGCATGGTATAGCTGTGAGAATTAAGTAGTTCAATAAGGAAGATGTGTTTACAATTCTTATTAAAACAAATTATGAAAAAACTAATAAAAACTGAGGTGTAATATATTTATAGCTTGTTATAAACTATTAATTTAAATGGTAAAAAGGAGAAAATAATTTCCAGGAAATATTTAAGTAAACCGTGAAAGGTACTTATCTATATATCTTCATTAAAATTTTTTTCATAAATATTTAGTGAAAGGAGCAATAGAACATGTAGATGCAAACACAAAAGCACATACACAGTATGGTCGAACTGTGCTGTAAGTACAGGATTATTTTCAGTGCTTACTCGGCTTCAACCTATGTATATCACCTTTAAGAGCTTTCTCATGTACAGACCATTTACATAAACTGTAACTTACTGATTTCCTCTAAGTCGAGTTATAGTATTTATCTATTTCCTAAAATAAATGTTACATGATAAAAGCATATTTTAAGGTCACTAAGAAAAAAGAAACACAGATAAGCAAGATGACACTCATTTTAAGACATATCCCATCCCAATTTAAGTCAAGTCTTAGCGTCAATAAACACAACAAGACTGTTCACCTTTCCTTCAACAGTGATACTTGTGAAATATAAGTTCAATTTGTCATCACATTTTCTACACTTACTAATCAATGTTACTACAATAAAAATGTAGTCATCCATGTCCCAATATTATAATATACACTCTACATATTGTAAAGCACTTGACTTCTAATTAATGATGCCCAACAAATCTGCTCTAAACAAGGACCTCTTTCTATAGTTACGCTTTTGAGCTTCAATATAGAGCTCACTCATAACCACGAAACAGTAAGCATAGTCTAAATGCTCTTTGAAGCCTCCTGAAGCATTCATTATGTCAAAGTTAGTTTTTTTCTATAAAAAGCTTGGTAAAAAACAAGGAAATCATGAAATTTGCAGGCAAGCGGATGGAACTAGAAAAAAAAAAATCATTCTGAATGAGGTAACACAGACCCAGAAAGACACACATAGTATGGACTCATTTATAAGTGGATTTTAGTCACATATTACAGGATAGACACACCACAGTGCACAGACCCCAAGAAGATAAGCCCAGTGGGTATCTTACTCTTCATGTAGGCCCCACTAGTTAGGGGAGTGGGGGAAATTTCTGACATGGAGTATGTTGCCTGCTTTTTTGGTCACTTCCCTCTAATAGGACTTTCCTACCAGGCCACAGGGGAGAAAGAGGAACTCAATCCTCATGTGAATAGATGAGCTGGGGTGTTTAGGTAGGGGGCTCCCTATTCTGAGGAATAGGGGAAATGGGATGCAGGAAGGAGGGTAGGAATGGAAGGAGAGGAGGGAGGGTCCTATGACCAAGATGTAAACTGAATTAATAAAAAAATTCTGGTTTATATAAAAAAAACTACAGGAAAAAGAAATATCAATATGCAGAAGTCTAAGCAAAAAACTGCTGCTTTGCTATTTATTTCAAATATTTTCAATTGTACCCACTGTAATATCAACTTTAGCATACTGGAGTGTATTCGTCTGACATTAGGAAGTTTAGTGGGTGATGCCTTTTAACCATGGATTAGGTATAGTTAGAAAGATGAGGTAATATTCCAACCAAATGTGTCACACACACACACACACACACACACAAAAGATCCAGAAAGAACACTTACTTTAATTAAAGAGTTATTTAATCTTGTATGTTTAATATGAACTAAAATACTTCAATAATTTTTGGATTTCAAAGAAAAAGATGTCATGAAATGCCTGAAAACTTATCTGAGAAGTTTTACTCCTTGAAAAACCTGGTTACTGTGTTAGCACAATGCCAGTTTTCAGTAGGCCATACTGTAAGTTTAAAGGCCACAGTCATTAAGTTTTGTTATCCACTTCAAGCATCTCATATAAACACTAAAAATCAATGCTCACCTTTAAAGTATTTAACAGTCTTAACTCTTAATTCTAAGGTAGCATCTTCGTCACAAACAAAAATCGTGCGGGGATGCTGCTGGAAAGCTGATACAGTCCACATGTGATTGACCCCTTCTTCAATTGCTTTGTACAGCGCAAATGCCTTGTGTGCACCTGTTATGAGGATCATTACCTGCAGAGTCAAGAGCATCACTTGTTAACAGTGAGCAGAAAGCTCTAGATAACATGTAAGTGAGGGCCAGACCTAACATGTTAGGACTGGTGTGTAAAATACATGCCTGGGAAAGTAAAAAAAAGGGCTTCCTTGTTCAAAAAAATAAAGTTATGTGGTTATGTTTCTTCCTTGAGTATACATAATCTGGGCTCACACCCCAAATCTTTCTAGTGCAGCTAAGAAATATGCCTTACATTAGAAAAGCAAGTGCTCTAAAACAACAGCAACTTGAAAGATATCTAGAAAAGCCCAAACTTCGCTTCAGTTAATGGGTATGATCATCTTTAAAGCTGTTCCAAACACAAACTGAGTTAAGGGTGTGAGCTCTCCTGAAACACAAGCACTCCAGTTGAAGAGTGAGATACTCTTAGAATTACAGAAACTGCAAATTGCAAGTTCCTGATTTTAAATTCCTAAGCACTATAATTCAAGAAATAATTCAAGAAACATGCAAGTGTGTGTCAGAAGGGTTCTTAGAATCTTTCAGCTATCAATTCCTTCAACAAACCATAATGGGTTTCGTTATGACATTTTCATAAATGCACTTAATTAATTCATTAATCATTTCCACTTTATGTTTTTAGTTTTTTGAGACAAGGTTTATTTGTGTAGCCTTGGGACCATGCTGGCCTCAAACTTACAGAGGTAAACCAGCCTCTGCCTCCCAAGTGCTGAAATTAAAGGTGAGTGCCACCTTATTTCCACGCTTGACTTCCCTTCCTTATCCACTCCCCATAACTGATCCTCTTCCTCTTCCCAAAGAGTGTTCCTTCCTTAAATCTTGATCATGAGAACAAAGATGAATTATTATCTTTCTGAATTTGGATTATTTTGCTTATTTCTTCTCACTACAATTATTAAAAATTAAGATGATTGTTCTAAAATATTTAAAATAATGTTATATTTATGTATGCATATTTTATGACTAATTGAAAGTATAGGAAATGAAAGATGAATGAATCAATGTATTTATAAAATCATAATTCAAATTGATTTTCATTGTGAAACTAAATCTTAACTAAAGCTGAATGAATCACCCTCATCAAAACTGTCTTTTAAAAAAATTAAGTAGTTTTGATATAAGGCAAACAAAAAAATTAATGGATTTATTAATTAATTTTCCTTGCTGGACATTATTAGCCAGAGTACTATTTTAAGAATGAAATATTTGTTTTAGAAACAACCAAAATGAAATGTGTATGTGTGTATACATGTACAAGAATACACATTACTGGCTGACTTGCATCTTTAATAATTCGCTATATTTGGAGCTTTGTTGCATTAGCATGACAGCAATCTCACAGGAAGTCCTTAGAAGGCAGCTGAATTTCTGTAATGCTTAAGGTATTAACCAGCCTTTTACTTTTTTGTGTGTGCACAGCCATCAGCTCTCTCCTTCCCACATGTAGCCCTCAGGGACTGAACGGTGGGAATCCAGTATGACCAGCCCTCCTAGTGTAGTCACTAAGCACTTTACACTACTCAACCCCATGTGTTCCAAAACTGAGTGACATTATCTCTGTACTATTGTGCCACCTGCCTGTTCACAAGACTATGCAAATGACAAAAAAACACCCAATTACTAAGATTTTAGGACCTCAAGCTGTGAAGCATGCATGGGCAGTGAAGCAGCAGCTGAATGAGGGGCTCCTGGAGCCTGGTTTATAACTGCAGACTGACATTTAGTTTGATTCTTAACAAGTCAATGAGTTAATCACTGAAAACTAAGCATTTTTATTGAAAATCAGAGGAATCTACAATATTTAGCACCATAATTACTCAACATCAAAGAAAAATGATCAAAGAACATTTCTTACCTCCCTAGCATCCATCACTGTTCCCACACCAACAGTTAGAGCCATTGTTGGCACTTTCGATAAGTCTCCATCAAAATATTTAGCATTTGCCAAAATGGTGTCCATTGCTAGAGTCTTTAATCTTGTTCTTGATACTAAACTGGATCCTGGTTCATTGAAAGCAATATGACCATCTGGACCTATTCCTTTCAAAACAGATATACACACTCATATAAATATGAAATAAACAACATTTCCAACATATGGTAAGCATATTTTCTCAAATTTCAACATAGTGATAAAGACAAAAAAAATAAGCATAAACCCACTTACCTTATTTTAGAGCTGAATTCCTAATATTAGATTGAAATATTTGTTTCTATATTTCATTTAATATTTCCGTATGTGCTGTATACACAGCATGAAATGCCATATAGTTCTAACAATAGCAGGGAAGCATCACATTTATATAACACTATAGGTTTACAAAGCGTTTTTACAACAGATAATATTTGGTAATTTTGTGGCTACTTTCCTCCTTGCCACTTTTTTGCTAAAAAGAAACTGATATGGAAGAAAAGAACCAGGACCACAGCTTAGTAAACCCCAAGACATACTCATACCTTAGCTTTCCGACTAATAAACGCCTTCGGTCTTTTATACTCACTTTGCTTTGTTTCATTGCAGTTTGGGTGAGACAGTTAACTACTGTGCCCATTAAATTTCATTTCCTCATAAAATAATATATTTTTGCATAAGATAATACATAAGATACCACAGTTTTGTTTTTCAAGCTTTTTGATTTTTTTCACTGCAATCTAATACACACACACACATCTAAAATAAAATAAAAAATAAAACAAAATGCATGAAATTACACTTAGGCTTACTGGGAGTCATGCAAGATCTTTTCTGTTCAACTCCATTTCTTTAATAGTGCAAGAAGGTAATGCTGGATGTTACCAGCTGTCCAGATTTCAGGACATCAACCACAGTGGCCTATACACACCTGCTGTATTCTAAGATGGCTTCTAAAATATAGAAAAGAACACAGTATTCCTTATTTGAAGATAATTGGAGGTAATTACCTTCATAAAGTCAATAACCTTTAAAAATCAGACTTTATATTCATTTATCCTAGTTGTCAAATTTACAGCAACTTCATTAAAAAACTAAACCCACCAATTCTCTAAGTAACTAAAATACCTTTTACATTTATACTCAACATGTTTACTTTAAGGAGACAACAGGTTTATCTAATACTTGCCATATAACTAAGTTCTTCAAGCCATGGTAAAATATAGCAAGCTATAATGTAGTTTTGAAGGGTTAAGAAAAATGAACACTATGAAACAAAATGTTCTAAAGCACAACAATCTAGCAATAATTAATGAGGGGATGTACATTTTTAAGGAGGACTTATATTGAAGGATTGTTCCCACTCCTAAGTATAGAGCTGTTTCTCGTACGTTACTTATATTTAAACATTTTTCTCTTTGTTTTCCAAAGTATTGTTTTACTCCGAGGCATACAAATGTACCATACAAACACACGTGCTTATGAGACATACTTTCTCTCTCTCCATGCACACAGAAGCAAGGTAATAGCTAGGAATGTAAAAACTTCAGAAAACAAATTTGAGGTCTCCCAAGACCCATGTTAATGTTTTTAATGGCGAACTTCGTCACTTAGAGCATATGGCTGACAAGATTCTGATCAAGGGTGCTGACAGAGAAGGAACACTGTATTTGCTTTCTGTCACAAGTGACAGATTGTGATTTCTGATAATGCTCTGTGTTCAGCTAATTCTTTGGCCTTCACATCTAAATTAGGATATCAGCATCATCTCAAGAACTCACTGATCTGATTATGTTATATGGTTTTCCTTTGTTCCTGTGTGTAGTTTGTCAACTTCCTTTGAGTTAAGCCTTTTGTGTGTCTTTAACTACTACTCAGAACAATATACTATACACATGAGACATTCAATAAATCACAGCTGAATGAATTACTGTATGTTACTTCTGTTTGTTGGCTCAGCAGTTTCTCGGAGCTACATACGCTTCTGCTCCACACGTCACTGCAGGTAGCAGGGGTGGGAGGGTGTGGTGATGTAGGGATCTCAAAGGTAATTCTTTATCTTACCGAGTGAGAGGGGAACAGAAAAGGACTCTAAGCTGAAACGAAACAAATTACTGTCTAGAGCTAATCTTTACCAGGTGAATACAAACAAAGGAAACACAGACAAGGTACTATATGACAGCTGCTGCTTAATGAACCACTACTCTGGGAGCTGAGGCTCTTTGGTTCTTTCCAAACAATCAGGGTTTGACCCTTCCCTATGTTTTGAGAATACTGAATCATTCCAAGTAACTACTAGTTAGTTCCCTTCCACTAGTTATCCCGCTATTGTCAAACCAAGACTTCAACAATTTAAATTGTATATAAACAAAATATAAATTTCATATAAACAAAATATCAAAATTTTAAAAAGTTATTACAGTTAAGTTTTATCTACAAAATTCCATGGTAGTGTATCTTGCTGGTGGGTCCTCCTTAGAAACTCGAGATATACCTTACCTCTTTCAACACTTCTGCCATCAGAGGATAAATGAAAGCTCTCAAAGTATGTTTCCTCTGTTCCCATTTCTACCAAGGGAGGGAACCCATGCTCTATCTAATCCCCTGGGGCAAGCAGCAGCAAATTTATACTCTTAGGCTCTTCTAGTCCTAGTCCAATTCACAGTGAAGGGGAAAAACAATACTGGCTTCAAGCCCAACCTGCAATCTCTATTCCAACTTTACCTTTAATAAAGCTGATATTTTGATCCCATTTGGCACAGTTCTTAGTGTTTTTATTAACCAAACCCTGGAACAAAAGAAGGGTAAGTGGTAAAATCCAGATACCAAGCCTCATCTTTAAAATTCCAAATACCTAGATCAAGAAATGCGAAGAATCAAATGAGAGTCTTTCATGAACAAGCACATGCTCAACAAACATTACCCCAACTGGACAGCAAAGTGTATGCTAACTCCTCTCTCCAAGCACAGAAATCACATTCTCTAAATGGTACATATAAGATGTCAGGCCCTGGATCATCAGACTCCAGTGAAAGTATTAATGAAAGAGGTAAAGAATTTTCTTAAAAATGTTTTCTGTTTTGGAGGTAGTAAAGAGATAACTGACTATAGGAAGCTGAAGATAAAGATGGTTAAAAAACCAAAGTGACAGTAAGAGTAAGAGATATGTATAATTATAACCAGTGTTCCATTTACTTAGAAGGGAGAGGCAGTGTTTGTCTCAAGGTATCATCAGACCAAAAACATAAGTGAAAAAAAAAAAAAAGGAGAAGTGACCTAGAGCAATGGGAAATGATGAGCTTCCACCAGAAATATTGGATAAGAGAGTTGCAGCCCCAGAAAACCTACTACAACCTGATTGCTTCCTACAAGGTAGACAAGAACATGAGACTCTTCATAAGGTATTCCCCTACCCAGTAAGTTGTTTTTCCTTGCATTGAATCTGTAAGGGATTTGTCACATGGTCTCTTCTGTAAAGTCAACAGATTAACAGGGAAAATAAATGTCTACAAATGAAAAGATTTTTCAAACACCCATTTTAACCATTAATCTCTAACAGGTAGCACGTGTGTTCAATATAACAGTTAATCAGTGATAACATTTCTTGGAAAAATAAAACTAAGATAAAACTGTTTGGGAAAAGTAATTTTATTTGATATGGAAATCACCAGTCCGTTTATACATTTCCAAACATCTAGTATCTCAGCCTTAGTACTGGCAGATAAAAAAAAAAAAAAGGTAATTATTTCAAAACGGAACCATATTTACAAAGCTAGAACATGAAAGTGCTCTATAGGATTACTAAAGTGATATTAGCAAGATCTATTTAAAATGGTTGACATTCTATTTAAAATGAGAAATAGTAAACATATATTCTTGCTTGGACAAATAGCAATTCTATCTATACAAGAAAATGAGCAGTACTGGCTCTGCTACATAGATAAAAATTTCCTCAGTAGAGAGTTAGTTCAGTCTCACTTGACCATCCATACAGATAATTCAGAAGGAATCATGAAAGTCAGTGGAGTAAGGGACAACTACACGAGTCTCTGCAGCTCGTGGCAGACAGCAATAAAGGCATCTTAAGCATATCATTATACACTGAATTTTTACAAATGTTGAGAAAGTGAGACTTAACCCTGTCTTACACATGATCTATTTACACTGAACTTCAGTAAACTTAGCAGGCATACACAGATTGATGACGCAAATGCAGCTCTTACTGTAAAACCCACCAGCATCCAAACACCTCAATCGTACTCAGCCACTTCAACCTGAATCCACCTCAGTATAACCCTGGTGCATACAGTTCTGGGCATTTTCTCATGAATCAGGTATAAACATATACAGGTAGTTCACAGCACTAGGTTTTAGTTGACTACTAAAGATTCGCATAAAATGGTTTTGGCTTTAGTGTAGTTGATTTATATTTTTTTCTCATGGCAACAGCTTTCTCAAGCTGTTTTGTGTTGGTAATAGAGATCCATAGCTATTACAAAGGAACACACTCCTATTTTCATCATTTTTATATACACACATATAAATACATAATTTTAATTTAACATTCATTCCTTTTGGAATTTATTAAGGCATTTATAGAAATTAACTCCTCTAAAAACTGGTGATAAAAAGTCTTACATCATTCTTAACTGATTTGAATGATTTTAGCATAATTGAATTTATTTGACAGAAATCTATCCATTTCTCATATACTCAATTCTAACCTGTTAAGTAGCTCATGCTAGAGTGAAATAATAAAACATAGGTTTTCACCCATAACAATGAGTCAGCACCACATTTTCAGGATGTGGTAAAGTGTCGACCCTATTAGGTAATCGGAAAAGTTTAACAGGGATGGTGACCTATTTCTCAAGGCATAATTTAAACAATGTTTTAACTGTTAAATTTTAACTTTACTTTTATGCTATCTAAACTTTTTAAGTGAAAATAAAGTAAAAATTGTAATCTTCCTATTTCTCTAGTTGAATATTAACAGTAACACATGTTCTTTGCATTATGCAATGGTGACATTTTTGTTCTTTTTTTTTTAAGCACTACTTCAAATATTAGCAGACATACGATTCATGACAATGTCTTCATCCATACCTCCAACAAAAAGATCTATTCCTCCAGCTTCTTTTATTTTCTCCTCAAATGCGTCACACTCTGCCTGCAAATCTGCAGCGTTGCCATCCAGGATATGGGCGTTGTTAGGATCTATATCGATATGCTTAAAGAAGTTATTCCACATATAAGAATGATAGCTTTCAGGATGCCTTCTTGGAAGTCCTAAATATGAAGGTAGGAGTAAAATAGTAACTATTTCCAAAAAATTTTCTATACTACATTAAATTTTAAAATGTTTGGCATAAAACATGTTTAATATATACATGTCACTTTACATATCTACAGTAACAATTAATTTGTAAACACACATGAAAACATTATCATTCTCATGTTATAGACAAGCACATGAAATCCTGAACTTTCCCCCAAATCTTAATGCTGACTAAGGGTTTGAGATACAAACAATGGAACACACACACACAAAAACTTGTTATCCAATAGTACTGAGCTCTGTATTTTTAATTGGGTTTTTTTTTTTGAGATTACAACACAGTAAGTGTATACACATAGATGTGTGTGTCTGTGTGTACATTCATGTATTCCTAAAAGAAGTTGCTTTGTCCATGTAGAATCTTATTCGTATGTATTTGTTTTCAGGGCTGGCCATTTGGTATTGAGTAACTAGTTGGTATGTCCTTCCCTGTGGAATACTATTTCTCCCATTCTCAGAGTTCCTTAATTGCCTTTAGTTCTATGTCTAGGGTTGAAGCCTCTTGAGATTCACTTTCCACATTAGCATATACATTCTTGACATTTTTGTTAATGTCATGTTTAGGCAGACAGGCTGGTGAGACATCAGGGGTGTAAGCTACACCCATGATTTATATATTTTTAAAGAATTTACTGTTGGCCACATTCCTCTTGTACTCATCCTACATGTATGCAAAGTATGTTGAATCATAATAGTTATTTGGCTCTAATTTATACAGACACTGAAAATGTATTCTGATATTTATGCTTTAACAAAGATTTTTCCAAGCTCCAAAATAGATCCTTCCAGTTAATAAAGTTAACAAATTACACAAATTTTGTGGGTGTTAATACAAATAACACTTAATTTGAAAACAAAAGCTATATGACTACATTTACATATGTATCATTTAATTTTCTATACTTTTAATTATACCTTAAGGAAAGTAGAGAAGCAGCAGCAGAAGGGGAGGAGAAGGAAGAGGGAAAAAAGGTGAGGGGTGGGGGGGAGAGGCAAATGGGAAGAGGGGAAGAAGGGTAAAGTGACAGAGGGACAGAGGGACAGAAAGACAGAGGGACAGAGGGCACAGAGGCAGAGAGAATAAGGATACAAATGGCTTATAAATAGACTGATGCTCAAAGTTAAATCCTAGGTAAATAGCAGAATGGATGCATATTTTCAGATTTGATTCCATTATACTATGCTATAATTTCACCAAAAAGCAGTACACAAATCTAGAAACTTCTAAAGATACACAATATTCAAAATATAATACAGTATATGTAATATAGAAAATATAATATTGAACATATTCAAATACCATATTAAAATAAATCTTACCTACATATTCATCCATATTAAAAGTCTTCACATATTTAAATGAAAGGTTTCCATTCTTGTGGTACTCAATTAATTTTTTATAACATCCTAAAGGTGTACTCCCTAAAAGAGATAAAGTATCCATTTTCTGAAATAAATTGAAATCTATTTAAAATGCTTAAGATTTTATCCATAACATTCTACATCTCAAAATAGGCAAGCAACTTAAATACGGATTTAATGTTCATGGTAGGCTGAGGTAGTTTCTTTCCATGATGCCTGGAAATTTCATTAAGCCATAATTTGGTTAGTGAAGGTGGAAACTCATCAACAAAAATAGAAGTTGTAAGGCTATTCTGAACTGTTCTCAGTATTTGTAATTGCCTTTCCAAATTATAAGAATAAAATCTTATGGAGTATAAGCCCTGAGTGAAAAGAAAAATCACTACCATACTTATTGAAAACATTTTGAGTTGTAGCTTGAGTGAGACAGAGACACGACAAGAGAGGAAATCTTGGCAACTTGTGCTCCTGTTTTTTCTTTCTTGTTTTATCTTCAACATGTTTCCCTTAAAAGGCTTAGGTGAGGTTACACCTTTAACACAGAGAGGACTTCTAGGAAATCCTCAGAGCAAACATACCATGTTTTTACAGGGTGATTATTTTATTTTACATGTTCTACAAAATTACTTGTTAATTTAGCAAGCAATTTTTTTTTTCTTCATGATGTGACACAATAAAAAGTTTACCAGCTTATGAAGGGCCTCCCACTTTTGTTTACTAAATTTGTTTTATATTTTTCATTATAACCCCAAGAATAAAGGCCCCTTATTAACATTTGACCTGACCCTTTCAGTCCTGGATGGAATGGATTTCTATTCCACACATTATAACAAAATAAAAACAAAACCACCACAGAAATATTTTGTGGAGGAGTGGCTAGGCTTAGGCAGCATTTAGATTAAAAAGCAATCTCTACACAAAACAACAAAGGGGGTTGGGGACTTCAGGAGTAGTAAAATGCCTCTCACTTGAGGAGACCAAACAAGTGGCTATTAATAATAAATACCATATAGGTGAAGAGAACAGATGAATAACAGATTTTAAGACTAAGCATATGTTAACTTGTAGGTATTTACTACTCAAAAGTTATGGATAAACAGATGGATAACTACGCTTCTCTTTTTTCATTTCTAGTAGCACATGAATCTTCCACTATTACACAGCCAGGAGTCCCTGGATTTAAGGCTCTCTGATTTTGTTCAAGTGAGAAGTTGCCACAATGGTAGTGATAAAGAACACATTCGCTTTCTGACAGTTAAGAAAGAAAAAAAATGAGAGACGATAAAGGTGAACTTGTTACAGATACTTCATTTTATGATTTGCTCTGTGATGGTCACTCAACTACATATACAATGCATAGCAGGTGCCTCCTTTGGCTCAAAGATTGTTAGGGCTTTCTGTGTTGAGAAGAACATACAAGACAGATACCAATTCCAAAACTATAATGTAAAGAAAAACAACCTCAGAGAATTTCAGGGTATGGCAATGAAGCAAACAGACTACAAACTTGCTTTCCAAAAAAAGAATCAGCTCTTAGATCATTTCAACTGAGTCATCAATGGCTGAAGTCCTGACAACCATACAGTGATTTGTAAGACAAACAAAAGATAAGGATAAAAAAGGTTCAAGGATAACATCTATATGTCCAGCACATGGTTACATACTGTGCAGGCGTTTCCACACATTACCTTGTGTAAATCTCAAATCTTGGAAAACTGGCAGTCTCTTTCTTACTGGAAATATAAGAACTGGGTTGAAAAAAATGAAAGAATTTGCTAAATATCAAATGGCAATGAGGCCAGAGATTCAAAACCGGGTTAGTTTCAAAACATGTACAGGTGTGACAGGGCAGCAGTATGAGTGAAAAGATAATAAGCCAAAAAGTTCAGGCTAAACCTCTGAACCACAAGCAGTACAATTTAATTTAGGGTAGGGGAATGGAGAAAATAAGGTTCCCAGGCAGGACAACAAAATACAGATCTTTTAAAAAAGAATCACTTAAAAATATACACATGCCCAAAAATTGTGCTCAGTGGAGAGTAACTTATGTACAGGATGTTGTCTTTAACCTCAGACATGCATGTTCCAGTTTCGGAAGCAGTGCAGAAAGGAAAAGGAACAATCAGCAGGGGCAGTGCTTAACACCGAATGATGCATGAAAGGCCAGCAAAGGTTCCTCAGCTCGCCCTTGACATGTGTACTAGTTGTAAATTTAAACACATAAGAGACCTGGCTAGCACTCCCTGCTAACACTCAGTACTTTGAAGCCTCTTCGTCCCCAACTCAGATTATTATTTCTGAGTCATATTTCAGACAAAATGATCAACATAGGTAGCCTGAGAATAAGCCATTCGTAGTGTACAGAGAGGTGCAGAGGTTGCCTCAACCGTCCAAGCCTACGTGAGGGTACTGATGTGAATGTGTGGTATCAATATGCCTGGTTCACAAAAATACCCTTTAGTCACGCTCAGCTAAGACGTTCTGTCCTAGACAAAAAGACAGAAAACAAAATAGCCAACCAAATCATCCAGAAAAATATAGTTCATAAAAATCACCAAAGTAAAATGAATCATGACTATAGATTTTTATATTCTTAGAATGTAGATGGGGACAATCAGGAGAAAACAGTTTACATAGAACATTCATGAGGGCCTAGAGTTACATAGCATTTACTGCATTTAAGAGATCTGCATATACACCATTTTAGCTGAGTGTCAAAACAGTATTTAAGCTATTATAATTATTACTATTTTATCGTTGGTGCATTTAAAGAGCTCAAGGTATGTGGAATGAACACATTGCTGCCATTAAAATTCAGTTCTGAGACTAGGTCTAATGCTCTTTTAAATAAAGAACAAAAGTTACCAATATGAAAGTACCAAAAGCACAAGTGTTACTACCTAAGCATTTTTAAAAGGCAACTCTTAATAGAAAACCAAAGCCAACAGAACACGTAATTGGTATTTGAGTTTATTTCTGTGAAGAACAAGAACTTTTACAATTTTCACATGAAAAATTTGTATAACAGAAAAACAAAAATTAAAAGCCTAAAATATAAGAACTCATAAATTAAAGTAACATGAAATCTATAAGTAGCAGTGCACAATTTCATCATCACCTGTTAGTGATAAAGGAGCTAAGTTAATGAAAGCTAAGTAATGAAAAGAAAGTAATGAAACAGTGCCCTAGAAACTCAAGAGTACAGAAACTCAAAGATACAGAAATAGTTTGATCATTTAATTTAGGATACTTTTTGAAATTTCAATTTTTGGAGTAGTGGGAAAAACAGACTTTTAACACAAACAGAATCAATATGTAGATACTGCAATCGACTGCATATAATTCTGGCTTCATGTTCAGAGCTATAGAAAATAATAAAAAAGTATTTTGCTAAGAAAAACCCTATTACTTCTACAGTCTTATATAAAGTAAGTTAATAAAACAGGAAGCATGGTTTATACCTGTTGGTAAGCCCAGTGTAAAGTATCTGCCCTGTCCAGGTTTAAACTTAATGATCCGGTTGCAGATGTACTTGGCTGCCCATTCACTGGCCAGGTCATAGTTATCAAGGATTACAAGCCTCATTGTTGGTGATGCACAGCTCCTGGCACAAGCGGTTCACACCTGTGAAAAGTCCATTGCAGAGCACTTCAGACATGTTTCAGACTCCAGAGGATCATATACTGACTTCTAAAAAGGCCAGTTCTTAAAGAGGACATGCACATATTAAAATACAATCCATACTTATGAAACAGCAGTAACAGCATTCTCTTCTGTCAAACAGGCACTGAGCTTCTGGCAGTGGGCTAGGTCACTTAGATGCATGTATTAATCCACATAACAATCTTGTGAAGTAAATTAGTTTCAAAGGAGAAAATGGACTCACACAATTTGCCTGTGGTCATGCAGGTAAGTGACACAGCAGAATTCAAATTTCAAAGAAGACATCATTCGACACTATATCCAAGTATAATATATACTCTTACCAAAGCAACCATCCCTGAAGAAAGGAAGCAGCATGCAGTAAATACTGGAATGACCTAGCACTTTTGAATTACTTACTAAAATCCAGAACTGTCCCTAAAAATACCCTTATGATTAGATTTCCTCTGTTAAATAATGTTTAAATTCCACGAGGGATAATTTGCATTATCACTGGTTATACACCATTGAGATATTCAAAGGACACACTTACACACACACACACACACACACACACACACACACACACACTCACATACACGAAGCCAAGATACTGAAAAAGGGTTTTAATAACAGCATACTTGAGTGAAAGCACTGGCTTCTTGGAGAAAAATTCTTTACAAAAATATAAATTTATTTCCAAAGTGCTTACTCTTTTTTTAACTTTATAAAAGTAATATAAAAACAAAAACTTATAACATGTTCTATAGCTGATAGCCACAATTCCCAGATTTAAATTTCTACTTTACAGTCAACACCAACCATCACTTCACACATAATACTTAGTCAAATGTTTAAGCTAACAAAAACATGACAAACACACAGAAACTCCATGATATTCTTAAGAACATGACTTAGAATTATAAAACAACAAAAAGTATGGTCACTATAATCTGGAATTCTATGACAATAATAAAGGAAAAACGGCGTTTATAGAAGAATCACAATGTTTTTAAAACAGCCTAATAAGTAAACGCTGTCTTCACTTAGGCATATCGATAATCTAACATCAAGGGTAACTTCATAGTTTATACCAAAACCCCAAATAACTGCTGGCTGTCACAGCCATCAAAAGATATACATTTACTTCTAATGTGCTTACTCAGCAACAACAAAAAGAAAAAGGAATTTTAAGAAGAGGCATTAGATCTTCCCAGAGTTCTGGTTGTCTCTCAGGCCCTGGTTATAACCCTGGTTATACCAGGGTTCACTCTATGTTAAATACTATGCCTGACTCTACAGATACAAATTTGAAGCGAAGGACCCTGCTGCTAAAGGGTATTTGATTAACTTAATACTCTCTGAATTTGCGATTATTCTCAATTTTCTATATAGAATCTATGACTCGAATACTCCAAAAAAGTTACAATGCCACTAAGTTGAGAAGAAAACTATATTTAAAACTACGCGTACCTGACACAAATACCCTTGTTTCAAATGTGTGGAATCACTAATAATACTGGTTCAAAGACTCTGGGCCCCCTTACTTAGCTCCTTCAGATCTCAAATGGGTCCAAGAACCTGTCAAACATTACCGGCGATACTCTGACTTGAGCTAAAATGAGACAAGTTTAGAGCAGCCATTCAGACCAAAAGCTTGTGGTTTTTACTCCTAGCAGAGTTCACCCCCCAAATTCCTCACTGACTCCCGCTCACTCAAAATAAATTCTTCTCTGCTCTTATTCAGCTGTTTGATACGGTCTTTTTCCAGGTTTTTAGACATCAGAAAACGAAAACTGTCGATGCCCTGTGACTTCTTGATCAGAGAGCCTGAAAAACGCCAAAGTGGCTCTAAGGGCTTCCTGCAGGTGCTGATTCATTCGGGCAGGGCATCCATTCCCCAGGAAAAGGGACTGAACTCAAGTCCCTGAACTCTCCACGGGGTGGGAACCTCCTCCCGGTGGAACTTCCACAGCTCTTTAACGACTGGGCCAGCACCCTCAGCCTCGCAGCACCCCGCCCTGGACTTGAGCAGGTGCGACGCCGCAGAGCCGCACGCGTCCAGGCTGCCCGCGCAGGGAGGGACTGCTCCGGGACAGGGCGGTCCTGCCCTAAGCAGCGGGGGGCAGCGTGAGGACCCGGAGCGGGCAGGGCTGGAAACCGCCGGTGACCCGACAGAGGACGAGCGCACGCCGGGCTCAGGGCGCCAGGCGGGGACACCCCAGCCGCAACGGACTCCGCACCCTGCCCAGGGGGTCGGCGACCACGAGCCCAGTCCACGCCCCGCATCGGAGATGTGTTCTCCCTAAACTCACCCGCTGACCTACAGCCTCCTCCGTCGCCCGAAAAGCGGGAACTAACACACCCTGCAAACCGCCAGCGACTCCAGCCAGTGAGGCTTGATGAAGCGTGAGAACCCGGATGCAAACACAAGCACAGGAAGGGACCCGGGAGGGCCCTGCGCATGCGCGCTGCCTAGGGAGGTGCTCGAAGGAGTAGGTTCCTCCCACCTGTGGCAGGACCACCCTTCCAACAGGAGGTAGGGGCTTGTTGGGGAGTATTCAGATCTTGGGGCATCCACCAGCCACTGCTGTTTTTACTTAAGTCTTCCAGAGATCGAATTGTGGTAGATTCCTTGTAGACCTGTAATGCCTAGGAATGATAATGTGAATTCGATCTCTTTACCCCACTTATTTACTTTCCTCAACAGAATAAAGTAGCTCTCAACTGAAAGGGGCTAAGAAAGTTTATTCAGGAATCAATCCGGGATGGCTATGGCTAAGGAGCTAGAATCCAGTTAGCCTAAATACTGTGTTCCAATGAGGCAACAGTTTCATGTTGTTGTTGTTGTTGTTTGTTTGTTTTGTTTTGTTTTGTTTTGTTGTAAGAAAACAAAACTAAAATCATAACTCAATGTGATTTTCAAATACATCGGTGAAAGCATCAGATAGAAAGTTACAACAAAATGATAAAGCTTTCCTATATACCTCGGATCCTGCCTGGTGACATCCCTAGCGTCTAAGATTCTATCCATTTGTTCCAAGAACGTTTCCCTACCAGTCACAGGATGTTAGGTCACACACAAGATACGCACTAACTGGTCGTATAAGTGTTGAGACACCCTAAGATAATTCGTTTCTGGACCGGCACTATTTCAGCTTCCCACAACGACTGGGTCATAGTCAGGTCTGAAAGTTAAACTGGGTGCAGTGCTCTTTTCTGAGAACTTAGTTCATGCTTTGCCACCATGACTACTTTGAATCCTAAGACCCCATCAAAGTTAGGTTTGTAGAGAGGAAAAGTGAATATTACAAAGTTTGCAGAGAGGAAAAATTGAAACCAAGGAGGTACTCAGGAAAGGTATCATACACAATTACAGCGTTGTGTGGTGTGTGCTGAATGATTTAAGGGATAGAGTAAGCCAGCATAAACTCTGAATGTGTGTCACAGTTCTTTGTAATGGAAAAAAAAAAAATAAGTAAGCATCAGTCACACACATACACACCAAATTTTTGTACTCAGTGACAACTTGATTCAGGATCCTGTTTCCCTAGACACTAAAAAATTAAGATAAATATAATGTGCTGTTTATTCAGATTTCTGAAGTTAGGAAACCTCAGAGTAAATCCAGATGGAGTCAAACACCAATCTTAGTAAATCCTTCCTGCAAATCAAGATGTTCTGATCTTATGAGGACTCTCAGAACACTTAATACTTTGACAAGGAACTTTGATTTTTATGACCATTGATTTAAGCTAATTTTAAAAGCAGTTGTTAGCTTTTATCAGTATTATCAGCTTCTAGCAAGAGTTTATTGTGCATTATTGCAATTTAATGCTGCACGAATAGCATTTTTAATTAGATTTTTTTCCTTCACTGTTTTTACGTAAGTGTTTTGACCATTCTAACATAAAACTAATTCCATCTATGCTTTAAATACCTATGACAGATGTTTCCATCTTGATTGCAGAATGTTATATCCTATCTTATCATTTCTCAAACTTGTAACCCCCACAATTTTCTGTGCAAAATTTACTGCAGTTCAAGTCAAAATTTTTAGTACTCAACAGAGAAATTTTTTTGGATAAGGACAAGGATATGGAAGCTGAGTCATTATCTGATCCTTTGATGTACCTGAGAGCACTTTGATGTTGGTAAATATTGATTAAATGTTAATAGGGATAGAGCAGACACAGTTCCTGTCACCAGTGAAGGGAAAGATTTACAGAAATACCGATGTAAGCTAACACCTTATCAACTAGTACCTCCTTATATGTAAAGTAATCCCAGTCAAGACACTTTTTTTTTTTCATATCTCTATGTTTTGGGGATAAACTATACACAGAAAAGATGTGTTTTCTCCAAATAAAGTCTTGAAAATGGGAAAGAAAAGTAGAAATGTCCCCATGATCACATGTTAGGCAGAAGATTTTGGTAGAGCAGTATTCATGGAGAGTGACAAAGTTACAGCAATAATACAGTGCAGAAACCTATGGAGGTGACAGGAGAGAAAAACACCAAGGTGAAATCAGACCATATTTTCCTCAGTAGGTGAGATAGTGTGTGAAGTTAACTGGGCAAGTAGCTTGAGGCAGAGCCTAAAGTAGGTTCATTCAATCTGCATCATGTCAATGGAAGCTCCTTCCTCAGTTAACAATGGGAATGCATGCTGACAAACAAAATAACACAGAAAAAGATCTTATTCCATTATAACAGATGTCAGAGGAAAGAGAATGACCTAAGAGCAGGTACATTGACTCATTCAACATTACCTTCGTGCTTAGAGTTCACAGAATTTACAGAGTGGAAATGTCTAGTCTAATAAGCCACCAAAACAGTTAAGCTAATCAGAAGGTAATTTACTTAAGTGTCCTCCTTTCATGGTGTTGTGTGGCAGTCTTCTAAGACTGAACTGTTTGATCCTTCAGGGAATCTCTTTCAAATATTCAAATGACAACACGTGTTGGAGAGGATGTGGAGAAAGGGTAACCCACCTAAATTGCTGGTGGGAGTGTAAACTTGTACAACCACTTTGGAAATAAATCTGCTGTTTTCTCAGAAAATTAGGAATAGTGCTACCTCAAGATCCAGCTATAGCACTCCTAGGCATATACCTAAAAGATATTCAAGTATAAAACAAGGACATTTGCTCAACCATGTTCATAGCAGCTCTATTCTTAATAGAACTGGAAACAACCTAGATGTCCCTCAACAGAGGAATGGATACAGAAATTGTGATACATTTACACACTGGAATACTACTCGGCTATTAAAAACAAGGAAATCATGAAATTTGCAGCCAATTGATGGGAACTAGAAAAGATCATCTTGAGTGAGGTAACCGAAGCAGAAAAACACACATGGTATGTACTCACTCATAAATGGATATATAGGATAAACACACTAAAATCTATACTCCTAAAGAAGCTAAAGTGTCTGTGTCTCAGTCTCCGTCATTGTCGCTTTGTGCGGTGTGCAGTGTTCCCATTGGCGCCTATCCTCTGAATTCTGTTCTGCCTCGAGGCATCTGTATGAGTGACTAAATGTGATTTGGACAGACGTGTCAAACAATCACAGTCACTGAAGTTGGGAGAGACATCCCCCAACTTCATCAGTATCTGGAGGTGATCTAGAACCACCCACCACTCAGGCTTCTGTGGCAGAGGAGCCAGAGTGGGAATCTGAAGGTCTGTTTTTACAGTACCTTACCCAGGAAGGGACTTGGGCCCATCCTGGAGGAATTTCTGTAAGGCCTATGTTCGGCCTGCCTGAGAAGAGTCAGTTTTGGTCCCAGGAAATTTAGCCAGCTGGTGGGTGTTTTTTTTTTTTTTTCTCAATGTCTCTGTGCAGTATTTGATTTGTTTGTGTCTACCCTCTGTTTTCTGTTCTGAAAGGCCTCACGAAACTTGTTTAAAATGTGTGCCTATGTGTTCATTAGATCTATGAACACATATGTATAGTTTACCACGTGGTATATGAAGTGCCTCAGTGCCTCACTGCCATCTTGACTACCACGTGGGTTATAATGTGACTGCCATCTTGGTATAAGTAAAGAAAAAAAAAGAGAACCTTGGTCAAATAATTCTCATTTCCTTCTAGGTTAAAAGGATGACTTATTTTAAATTGATATTGGTTTTAGAAATTACATTGTTTGCACTGGTAAATGCTGGTTTTAAAATCTGGTTTTGACTTTTAAAGATTATGGTTATACCTTGTCACTTCTCTCCTACAAAAGGGGTACTTTATTTTGATATTGCAAAAACGGGTTTTTAAAAAAAATGTTTAAATGTTTAAGGCTATAAAATGTTTAAAGTTTATCAGGCATTTGGGTATGATGATGATCTTGGGCAATCTAACAGAAAATTTGAAAGTTTCTCGATACTTTGGGGGAGAAAAATACTTTGGTATATTTACTAAGTAAAACTGAGCATTGTGGTTTGCACTAATTGAGAAAATTGCAGTTTTTACAATGTATCTTGTGGAGAGCTGTTTGTTAAGCTGCTTTGTTTATGGAAAAACAAGTTTCCACCCTGTTCTTTACCTTGAGACAAAGAAAAGAGGAAGTTTCACCAAGTTCCTTAAAACTTGTTCTAAGTTCCTTAGAGTTTATGTGACCTTGGACCATCTTGTCTGCTACAGGGAAGTTATTTTAAAAAAATAATTTGGCAGTTTCAGAACTCCTTTTTGTAGTAATGTAACTTGTTTTTGCTTTGCCTATAAAAAGCAAATCGTAGACGCTGAGCTCCAGCAGGATCATGTCAGAATGGAAAGGATTTTGATGAGAATTTTTATGTTGTCTGGAAAGCAAGAGAGAGCAAAAAAGTAATAATGTCTGGTTAAGCTAGAAAAAGGAAGCTAGGAACCTAAAGGTATCTCAGTTATGTTCAGTCCTCTGATTAGTGCTAAGTGCAGAGCTTTTTAACTGTTCAATTTTAATGCAAAGTGGTAGGATCAGCAAGATTTGCTAGCCTCTCTATAAACTGTATCTGATTAAAAGGTTTTCTTTAATTTTAGTTCTGAAAGAGCAGACTTAAAGTTATGCTAACAACTGCAGTTGGTTATACCTAGTGTCTTTGTTTAGGTTTTTTTTACACAGTTTAGAGCAGATGATCAAGATAGACAAGGAGTAACTCAGATATGCTGGCCCTCAAGCTTGTCAGAGATCTGATGAATGTGGCATTTTAATTGTGTAAGCTTATTGTGACAAAAAGTCCAAAAATCCTGGCACTAGCTCCCCCAATGTCTCCGAGAAGATTTGGGCATGACAGATGACTGAGACTCTGGATTGTGGTATGCTAACCACTGGGAATACTGCCCCAACTGGCCCACTGCTAGGGCCCAGCCAAAACTGTGGACACCTGGAGTCAATGTTTCACGTTGCTAAGGGCGAGGTGAGGCTATTCTCTCATTTCTT